GAGGAGCAAGGAAAGCCAGTCCAAGTCCCAAAACTGAAGAACTTGGAGTCTGATATTCACGGGCAGGAAGGGTCCAGCACAGCAGAAAGATGTAGGCTGGGAGGCTAGGCCAGTCTAGTCTTTTCACATTTTGTTTTTCTGCTGACTTTATATTCTAGCTGCACTGGCAGCTGATTAGATGGTACCCACCAGATGAAGGGTGGGTCTGCCTTCCCTAGCCCACGGACTCAAATATTAATCTCCCTTGACAACACCCTCACAGACACACCCAGGACCAATACTTTGCATCTTTCAATATGATCAAGTTGACACTCAGTATTAACCATCGCAGCCACTTACTAGATGTGAATCTGGGGCCAGTCTTTAACTTCTTAGTACTTGTTTCCTCATTATTATTGGTGAATAGATAACAGTACTTAGCTCATAGAGTTGTGCGAATTAAATGAATGAATTCAAGTCAAGTACTTACAACAGTACCTGGCCCAGAGTAAGAGCTCAAGAAGTACTCATGATCATTACTGTCATTTAGTTCCAGCTTCTTCACTTACTAAGTGCTTGGCTATGCTCACACTGCCTTAGTGTCTTTGTCTTCCGCCGAGAATGTGAACACCTCAACCTAAGGTTGCTGATGGAACTAAAAGAAATAATTGATGTAAAGTGCTTATGTAGTCAAGTGCCTGGCATATAGCGAGCACTCCATAACAGGCAATTTCTCCTTTCTGATTTACTTTCGCAAGGTCCAAGCCTTGTATTGCAATGAATTCAGCAGGATAAATGTGGCTTCACTGTGTCTCTTAGAAACTACCCATTTTTTTTTTCCCACTGACATTCAAATCTTGACGTAGTCCGTTTTCAAAAACTTTTTTGTTTTTTTGAGACAGAGTCTTGCTCTGTCACCCAGGCTGGAGTGCAGTGGCACGATCTTGGCTTACTGCAACCGAGTGAGCCAAGAGGTTCAAGCGATTCTCCTGCCTCAGCCTCCCAAGTGACTGGGATTACAGGTGTGCACCACAGCGCCCAGCTAATTTTCATATTTTTAGTAGAGATGGGGCTTTGTCATATTGGCCAGGCTGGTCCCAAACTCCTGACCTCAAGTGTTCAAGGTTTTATCATATCGGGCGCCACAACACCCAGCTAATTTCTATATTTTAAGTAGAGACCGGGTTTCACCATGTTGAGCAGGGTGGTCTTGAACTCCTGACCTCGTGATCCACCCACCTCGGCCTCCCAAAGTGCTAGAATTACAGGCGTGAGCCACTGTGCCTGGCCTCTCCCCTGCTGTTTATGTGTCAGTGGTGCACACCCGCAAACTTCGTCAGCTAGCATGTCTCCTTTCTTCCTCTGGGCATCACGCCTCCCGCACTTCGGGAAAGGCTCCTCCCCAGACTCTAGCCATGTAATTCAAATGTGTGTTGCCATCTTCTTCCATAGCAACACCTGCCTGGTCTCAGCAA